TAAGCCATCTCGAGAGATCGGGCTTGTTCAGAAGCGGTGCTTAAAACGGACGACATGTTTTCCAAGAGTCGTTGACGTATAGCTTGAGATTGAATCGCAGTTATGAATGCATCTCGAATGGCGTCTTCACGGTTCTTCTCTGCCGTGACCGTTTTTTAAGTTACAATCATGGTCCAGTAATTTCAAATATTGCATGAAGTTGTCCAGTCTCGTCTACTTCTTGCTTGGTAGTAGCTAGAACATGACGTGCAAAGATTTCACTTTTCGCTTTGGTGTTTATCAGTTGTTCTCAAACCTTTTGCGGCTGTTACCCACACAGCTGGTTCACTATAAACAATTGCTAAAAACTTTTAGTTTAAAAACCTATTTACCTATTGCAGTTTTGATTTAAATTACGGAAAATATATACTGCTTTTTATTACTTACTATCATCTAACTAAAGCAAGCATCAATTTTCCGAACAATGTCTTATTAAATCTGCAGGTGGCGTACGTTAATGTGACGGTTGCTATTGCTTAGTTACAACGGTTCATGGTATATTTAGTGCGGGTTCGGCTATTGCACATTGTAACTCTTGCTCCTAGTTCATTCGGTTCCTTGCTTTGATGCGTGATCCCTGATCAAACTTGAACAGACCTCAGTGGCTTCTCATTTGTTTCAACCATCCCTTCCAAGTACGTACAGGATAACAGATTCCACCACCACACTGTAACGATACGTCCTAAATATTAATCGCTTGTGTTGTCCCTTTTACGTTATAAACATTCGCTTGCTCCTTTACTCGTTCCGCAGACATATGCTCACTACTTAGTATTCACTCCCCTCTGTAATTCGACTAAGCAAACGAGTGCCTTCGCTCAAAAGAACAACGATCAACGATCGAGTCGGTAGAGTCGTCATCTAGCTGCGTTGCTTTGCATTCGTGTATTCGTATTTTAGGTACTAAAATCTCACCGAGTAGTGTTGCTTTTACTTGGCGACTGATTGGTGACTCAATCCTCGTGCTTATATTTACTCCCCGGTTAATTCTATTTTACCTCCTTGGAGCTAATTACTTCCAGGTTGAGAACCACTGATGTATATAGTTCTGAGGGTTTCGATGGTGGGTTCGTAGGTTGTGCACTCTTTAATGTAGTCGTATATATCAGGAGACGTAGTTCGCCAGCGTCCTCTACTTACTGAACTGCAGTGAGTCGATGGTGTCTAAAAATAAGTGTATCTGACCAATATGTCCACTGTCTCGCCGCGTTCGTGTTGTTGGGATTGGCATCGAAACGTTCTGGCCGGAGAATGCGATCTACTGCTTGCTGAATGAATTGTAATGGAATTGAATGAGGAGAAATACGACGGGTGAGAAGACCACGATCCCGAGGGATTACGTTTTATTCGGTAAGCAACTAATGCATGTAAACTGAAATGAATTACGAAATGGTTATCGTAAAGGAGTAATAAGTGGGAAGTTTGCAAATCAGGAGTACTGGTCAACGGCCATCTAACTGACTAGTATACCTCTAGTATACCTCCACTAGTGGAGTACCCCAAGCCACGGTGCTGGGGTCAACTCTACCTAATCCACATCAGTGATCTATCTCAGCTTCTTTGGTTGACCTGTGTCCTTTTAGCGGATGACCTGAAGATTTGGAGAGTGGTTAGCACTCTCGATTGCTGCTACTTCATTAAGACCCCAACTGCCTCTCCATGTGGTCTATAGAGGTCCGCTTCCCGCTCAACGCTTCCAAGTCGGTACTCATGAGCCTGGGGAAGACTGATGACGGCTGACTTACACAATTTACGGTCAGCCGCTATGTTTCACACCTTTCGTGAAGGACCTAGGCTTATTTTCACATTGCGTTTTGTAGTTCGGGGTTGACACAAACTGATTATATCGTAACAGACTCTGCATGTTTTTGCGTGCTCAAACACTACCTCTGCACTTGGTCTGAAGAGGTCGCCACTTGCCACTTCCATCATAAGACCAATACTAGAGCACGGCTCACCTGCCTTCTCTCCATTCACCCGAGGCAAGGCACAGAAGATCGTACTAGTCCAACACGTCGCTACCAATCTCATTCAAAGTTTACGAGTATTACCGTTCGAAGGCCAGTGCGAGGAACTAGGACTCTACACCTTGTCCTTTCGTCGTGTGCGAATCCATCTCATCATGACCCACCGTGTATTACATCTCGGGGACTTTCTTCACTTTCGACGCCATGCACCACACGCGAACACCGGTACAAACTGGTGCTGCCGGATATAAGACAATTATCCATCCCCTATGCTTCGAACGGAGAGTAGTAACTATTTCGAACAGTCTGCCAGAACAAGTCGTGGAGGACAAATCTGTGCAGCAGTTCAAAACTTTGTTGGATTTACATTTCACCACCATTCGATTCAGAGAAGGACTGCACACTAGCAATGACATCTTGCATTTGTGAGCCCAGGGAAACTAAGTAGAACACTTTAAAATGCTACATAAGAACTTGAAGAACGATTAGTTTATCACGGGTGATGGATATTTGCTATAATATTTTTGCTTATATTGCGGCGGAGTTTTACATGTTTAAATTTTTACTTGTTCCCACAATACGGTATTCAGTATTGGCTGACTTCTCGGGAAATATCTGAGTGTTTTTATGCCATTTCGATTAGCCATACTGCGGTTTCGGCCTACTGAGTACCTCGATGACAGCCAGTACTGCTCTATTTATCTATTTCTCAGGAATGCTTCAAATGTTATCAGGTTAGTGAATAGAGTGGAATGTTAACAAATAATCCAATGCAACACTAGAGGTTTTTGTAAGTAGGGGGCGATTTGCTGTGTATTTTGTCAAGCTTCGTCGCGGTTAAACTCAAGCAGACAGCCACCACACATCCAGGAAAGCGCTAGACGGTCGTTTCGTCCTATTGGGGCTCGTTAGTAGCGCGCACCCGCCGGATCCAAACCCACGACCTTACCCCTGCGAGCCAGCGACTTATGCCACTGAGCCATGGGCGATGGCAGCGGACCACCATAACTGATATCCAACTGTGATATAGCGCGGCTCATCCTCCATGTCATGCATGTTAAGAACGTACAGAGGACAGAGCTGTCCCCCAGAGCCACGACTTCATTTGCAAGCCGCCATCAATCGAGGTGGCCTAAAAGCTGCTAGGCGACTACGAGTCAGTGGAGGATGAGCCGCGCTATAACGCAGTTAGATATCGGTCATGGTGGTCCGATGCCGTCGTTCAAGGCTCAGTGACATAACTCTCTGACTCACAAGAATAAGGTCCTTGGTTCGAATCCGGTGGGATTCGGCTGATGCGCGCAACTGCTGAGTCCCAATAGGACGAAACGGCCGCCCAGTGCCTTCTTGGATGTTTGGTAAAGTTTGTTGTTAGACACTAAATGATAGACCTTAGTGTTTTTCCCGTGATGCTTCGGGCAGAAATGAGCGATATCTCTTAGGCACCGGCTGTTAGAGTTGAACTTTCTATTATTCCTACTGTAGCGCTTCTCGTGCCACCGCGTTATACAGCCATGAGTACACTGCAATTAGATAGTACGTCATACATGATGGCGAAGCACAGTCTGTACCGAACTTGAGAGATTGCAAGGTTAATGTCGCTTATCTGTGCCAGTGGCACCGACGCCATACTATCGAACGCAAAACGGCACATTAGGTGAGGCCGTGCGAATTCCGTGGAATGTTTAGATGTCAAGATCTTCTTCAGTTTTTAACCTAACAAAAGGAGACCTGCTATGGATCTAAGGTGCAGAAAGAACAAGAGCACTAACGACTGAGTTGTGTGATCGAATATTACTTCTTGTCTATCCATTCCTGAAGTGGTTTTGCTTGTGAGTATCCACCTCTTAATTGTGATTCTAGTATCCAACGTGAAATGATACTGCGTGAATGGAAGTTTGTTTAGAAGACTCTACCCCGGGCTTTTGTCCAACCCAGTAGACCTCTGGCAGCAAATGTTAACTGAGAGCTTCTTTAGGCTGGTCACCTACAGTCTTGGAGTATGTCTAGCACACTTAACACATTTCGACTGTAACTGATGATGCAACTGCGACCACGGTCAAACGCAGCTTAGGTTTAGCTGGTTTCTGCCTTGTTGGCCATTTGCTGCTTCAGTTGAGGCAGATGATAGCAAACGAATAATCGACAGTTGTTCTGTCACCCCGCCAGAAATGACACAGGGATTACACGCGTCACACCGGTCGGACGGAGCTTAAAGCTCATGTGTTATTGTACCTTATGCTTGTGTTTTGTGAGACAAAGGCCATTTAACTCTCCCCGACTTCCAAAGAGGCGGATGCAGGAACTGCCACTTCTAGGGTCTTGAACAGCGCAACCCAGTTTCTCTCAATGAACCACAGACGCAAACCGTTGCACTGCTGTAAGATCCATTTTCACCGCTGTCGATCTGACACGCGTTATCACTCGCTACCATAGCCTTTTAATGAGAAAACTACGTTTGCATCGACTCCATCTACTTTTTCTCTGATCTTGCTTTGTGCGTAGTGATCCGAAAGTTTGCGGCACAATAGCGGAGGTGTTTCCCACCTCTAGCTGACTTGTTTAATGATGAATGATGATGATCCGAAAGTTAGTGGAACCAAAGTGACGAGCTTGGCTTCCACTCGAAATGTTTGCCATGTAACTCCGTTAGGTACAGAAGCGGTATTGCAGCAAATAGTTTTTTGCAAGAACAATGTTTTAAGCTTACTGTGTTGAGACAATTAAGCAGTTGGTATTCCATCTTTCGTCGTATCGTAAGCATATACTACTATTTACTAATAGGCGCGTATTTGGTTGGTTCCTGCTTGCCTTGATTCTTGTTCTTCTCCCATGGATGGCTACACACATTATTTAATACTGCTTAATAAGTTTCTTCCTTTCTTGTTTGGTAAGCACCCCGTTCACTTCCTGGATTTGCTTCAGATGTCCTTTTTCAAGGGGTTTTTGAACCACAGAACTGTATGAAAAGGCGAATTCACGCCCTCTTCGCTTATGAGCACAACAAATAGTGATGTATTATCCCGAATTCATTGTGGTTATGAACAATTGAAGACTTTCAACCGTACCAAGTCAGATGGAGATTTGAAGCCAGAGCGCCGCGTTCGCTTTCCTGACGATGAGGTCATTTCAGATTACTTGGAGCCTTTTCGACCGGGTAAGTGTTTCCAGGTTATCCAAGAATTTATGTCAATTATTCCGTCTGGTCCTTTCTTTTTTCCAATTTTATTAGCCTATGCAGTAGTTAAAAACTGAATGAGATATCCTCATATATCCTTTGCCGCTCACTAGTTGCTCCACCCCACCTCACATTGTCATACGTTTCACTACGCTTTTGTCCTTTCAAGCGGCGCCTATATTCCCCCATCATCTCTTATACTACCTCAGTTTTCTCTCCTTGCCAGCACAGTTACTATTGTTGATCGACGAACTTTGATCTTCACGGGTCAATCCCTATTTAATGAATTCCATTCAGCTGTATTACCCGGCACGGCGCGCTTTTTCAACAAATATGAATTTGTGTGCGTCATAGTAGGCGCTGGCGGAACTGAGCATATCCCTACCACTGCTTTTGTTACAACCAACCCCCTTTTAACGGCCACATTTATCCAGTGGCGTCTGAAGTAAGCAGCTTTAACTCTGGGCTGTTATTAGTTTTCTCGCATTTTGGCAGTCCTTTGATTGCTAACCTAACCGTTTTCTATCACTTCCCGTCTCGTAGATAAAGCACTAAAGAGCGATACTTCAATTCCATTCATCGGACTCGGCCCAGCTCCCACTTTGGAAGATATTCGACACAAACTTACGTTGCTGAAACGAAACAAGTCTTCTGGATCTGACGACCTTTTTCTATCTTTGCTACATAATGAAAGTGACTGTCTCATGAACTTGCTTCTCCATTCAGCACCATTTGGGACACTGCAGAGGTGCCTTCAGACTGGCAGTTGTCAACTATCTTGCCCTTTTTCAAAAAGATCAACGGACTTTGTGCGAGAATCATCGAGGCATTAGCCTTGTTTCTATTACCTCTAAAACTTCTCACGGATATCATTCTTCGACGACTTACTGGTCCCTGTCAGAGCTGAACCATTGAAAGCAAGGCAAGCTTTCGCCTTGGTCTTGGTTGCATCGAGCACATATTTACTTTTTCGTCTAATGTTAGAGCATAGACACAATTGCAGACTGACTATTGGGGTTTTCCTTGAATTTAAGGTGGCTTTCGACTCTGTTGATCGTACCAGCTTGTGGCATTGCCTATCCATGAAGGAAGTGTTTGGAAAAATCCTTTCCATTTTGTAGGTTTTGTATCTTGACTTCCGAGGTGAGGCATGAGTCTACGCGAAGCTATCTGCTGGCTTTTCCTCGACAAGTGGGGTTCGCCAGAGTTGTCCTACATCTCCTTTCCTTTAAAATTTTGTTATCTGAATGATCTTGAGTGGCTGTCCTTTCAGACTCTACCGTAGTGGAAGTTCCGCCAGGTGACCGACTGACAAACATGTAGTATGCGGGCGACATAGCTCTTTTTGAGTCTGACGCAATGGCTATGCAAACACAGCTGGATAGATTGGTACGTAACGCTGCACCTTTCAGCATGTGCTTTGCATCTTCAAAGTGCAAGGTAGCGTTGCACGACTAGACTGACAAACTTCAGGTTTTAGCTACCAGCGAACAGGCACTGAAATCGGTCGATTTGCTCATTTATCTTCGTAGCTGTATCACCTTTGGTGGTCACATCACTGAACAGGTTACTTCGCGTATCAGCAAGGCCCATGTGGCTTTCCAGAGTCTCAACCATCTATGGGGACGGCTGGATATCAGCCCGTCAGTGGAAGCTAGGGTGTATGACGTTGCGATAAGACCTGTGTTATTGTATGCATCAGACACCTGGCCAGTTCGCAGTGAAGACATTAGACGCTTGGCCGTGTTTGACTAGCGGGGCTTGCGGAAGATTGCTCAGATCTGGTAGGAACACCTGGTGAGCAGTGCTGAGGTCCGCCAGTTAGTTTTTGGCAAAACGCTTTCTAGTCCCTCTCTCGAGTGTTTGCTAAATCTAAACCGTTGACGTTGACCATGGAATGTCCTCCGTATGCCCGTTGATCGGTTTCTTCGGCGTGCATTATACGCCGTAACTGCACTAAGTTGGGCGAAATCGTAAAGTGGCCAGTCGATGACGTGTCATAGAGGGATAAAGAAATTGACTGAGAAACTTGGTTAGGCGGGTGCGTCTTGGTAAACGGGAACCTCGAGATGGTCCACACGAGTGGCTGAAGACTATTAGACATGGTGCAGTTACGCAATCAGTGGGTTCCTCTATTCGGTTTCTTGCATCTAGCTGCTAATTTTCCATCCCGACTGGTTTTGTGCACTTTTCGGTTCCATTTTATTTGCATTCAACTCCTTTTACTGGCGTCGTTATTTATTGCCATTCTGGCGACGTGAGTCATGGCAACTGGATCCACCGCGATTCAGTGTTGTTGTTGCTTTAAAAGATCCGGTGCATCGAATAAGTGACGGGCAATCAAGCTAGTGGGTAGTTTGGGGATGGTTTCAGTTATATTGCACTGAGCGTGCTCCGCAATCCGTGTGTCATACTGTGAATCGCTGGGATGTCTTTTCTCCCGTATTGTTGGTTGATGCGGTCTTGTCCACTTTCGATTGTATCCAGTGAGCAAGTTTGACCAGCTCTCGCAAAAATATTACGGATCAACTCTTTTGTGGTTCAGAAGACAGAAGTTATTAAAGGTAAGTTCTTGTCCTCTCCACGTAGATTTTCTGGACACTGACCAAGCGGGGGTGCCATCTGGACTTTTTTGTAAACTAGTATCCAAGAAATGGAAGGTTTTATCGTATTCGCTTTCGATAGTGAATTTACTCGCAGATCGACACATATCCGGCATATCTGCTGTGTGCCACCTTTTGAACAGGGTTGACTACGACCAGAGTGTGTTATCCATCGACCGTCCTTGAAATTGAACATTTTGTATGTACGAATGTAGCATGGTATTTTCCAGGTGTCCAATGAATAACACTATAATAATATTACCACTACTACTACTAATAGTAATAATAATAATAACACGCATGGTTCCGGATTGTACGAGAAGCTGTCCCTAGATTGTGCACAGATCATGGGTACAATATCATGCTCATGCATGAGTGAGATGTGTGTACTGGGTGTGTGATATCAGAATAATTTGGAATCACATAACTGTTGTTGCTGAGTTTTGTGTTTTCTCATTGCTTATATATTTCTTGGTTAATCCTTGAAGAACTCCTGTAGTGGTCATTATCGATTTCTCGTCCAGGAAGTTGCCAACCTGAATGTGGAATCTTATTCTATTTGTGCAAGATCTGCTTGTGGCTAGTAGGCTATTTCACACGACAGCATATCTGACGAGGAAGATGTTTGACCGGATAGCTGTCCTGGTTCTTGGCACATCTAATCTACAGGTCTTGTTACACAGATTTCGAGTGAAGTTGTGTTTCCGTTTTAGCGTGTACAGATCGGAGCATGTCTTTTGTTTTATGAGATTGTTTATCGGCATCAGGTTATGTTTCAGTCGTCGCAATCAAAGCGGCTCGAGTTCAAGCTGCTGGCAGCGCTCCTGATAACTCAAGGTGGTTGATTTACTGAACAAGTGCTTAGTGAATGATTTTTGCAGTTTTCCCATACTTTCCTATCACCGTTACGCATGTTCCCATAAATGATGCTGCTGCAGTATTCAAGGACAGGAAGTGTGATTATGCATCACGATCCCATCATTAGGAGTTCACGTCGCATGACTCTCCAACTGACACTAAGCGTGAAATCACATTCTTTTTCACTGTCGCTGTTTATCCATTGTGACTCCTTGCCATCACTCCTGATGCATGACGAGGGAGACAATGGGCTGTCATGCGCAATACATGACCAAATGAGCGCATTTGATGTGAGAGAAGGGGTTAATTTTCACCCCAAGCACTCGGAATCCGCGGCCATGAAAACTTACCACCTACTGGATTATCAAATACCTGTTAACGCCCACGGGTTAGGTACCTAAATGTATCATCTTAAACGATCTAGACTCTACGCTGGTTTGGTGCTCCGTCGCAGAACCTGCGTTGACAGGTTATCATGGAAGGTAGTTCCGAGTGGTATCGATAACTGACCATGGGACGTTTTTTGAGATGAGTACGATACTTAACACCCAACTACGTCAAGCTTCTGAAATGCGTCCAGCTCGATACTATCCAAATTCCACAGACCGTTGTAGCGTATCACTGATTGCATTTCATGTGCTTTGTGCATTGTTGACTTGCCCTATTCAGCTTCACTAACGACTGTTTGACCTCCCCGTTCCCCGCCTTTTCCTGCACAGTTCCGGACAACTGTACCAGCGAGGAGTTGATTACCGCATACATCGACTCTTGTTATCATTACAAAGTTCAACCAATCGAATTCCTGCTTGAACAACTGAAAGTGAGTCTGCAATGTTCCACCATACTTTTGTAATCCCATTTTGAACACTTAACCTCTGTGCGCAATTTATATTTTATTCCTATACTTCTAGGCTGTAACAACCTTGCTCGCTTGGCACTGGGGGCTACCGCTTCTATACAGTCCGAGGCGATACTTGATAATTTCCCGTTACAGTTCCTCCAATCGTGCGATGAATGACACACTTCCGCACCTCCTATATTTGAACTGTAGTTTAGTTCTGAGCATCAATCATCCAATCAACAATAGCAGTACATCAGTCATTTGTACCGATGCTTCGCTGCCTTACAACCATGATGACCTAAGAAATAAAAATAATCAGAGGGAGAGAAGCGGGACTTACCTGAAAATCTTAATTCCCTAAGCAAACATTCAGTAACAAGGCGCGTACACCTTGTGTAGACAACATACTGTCACAAACAGCTGGCTATCGTGCAAAAATAAGGCGGCATCGAAGAGACAGTTGACTTACGGCTTTCACTACACCGTGTCATAATTAGCCATTACCCTGCAGATAACTCAGCACCAAACACACTTTAAACAGGCAGTCCGAGGCCCAAAGAGTGGCGGAACACTTCCCGTTATGGCTAATGCAGTTGCTGTCTCATCAAGACGGAATGGACCAAAGAATGAACCGGAACCTTGCCTCGTCTATCACTAAGCACCTAATGACGACTCGTCACCAGATGAACCCGATCGATTCATTCAAGGTGCTATTGCGCAACGGGAATCCGATGTTGTTGGCAATTGGCGAGGCGCCACAGTAACAACTGAGGCAATAAATTAGATTGCCTTGGATTTGACCACGTCATTCATCTCAATTTTGTCTGTTTATCTATGTTACTAAGTGTGGACCATATTTAATGGGTATTATGTTCTGCCTGTATTGCGTCGCGACTGACGAGAGCCATCGAAATGTTAACCTATCGCAACCTATGTCTTCTTACTGGTCTAGGGGTCATCAAGTGGCTGGTGGTCCTGCAGCAAAACTTTCTATTTTGAAGGTGCGAAGCGCATGCCAAATAATCGGACCATTCTAGTTAATCTATTCAGCATTTATTGTACCGCCGCAACATCGTCGAAAAGCCATACGATATCGTCCGGATAATCTCGATCAACTAACTTTTCACGAGGCAGGATCTCAGCGCCTACATCGTGAGGTTCCACAAGGGTACACACCATGATGGAGTCCACTACGAAATTGAATAAAAGCGGGGAGATCGGACAACCTTGACGAACGCCACTTGTTGTCGGAAAGCCACCGTAGATCCTGACGTGGCCTGTAGTGTTCGAGTATAGAGCACGTAGGATGTTCACATATTTTGTGGGAACACCTTTCCGCTCAAGTATTTTGAACAGAATCGATCGATCAACTGAATCAAACGCACTCTTGTAATCGAAGAACACAGCTGTTGTCGATTTGTAGTATGGGTGACGTTGCTCTAGCACCTGCAGCTGAGTGGTCCGGGTTACTCCTGTTCCAGTGAATGCTTCGGCGGCATTGTTCCAGGATGTGGTGGGTTTTCGCCTGGCAAGCGTTCCTCACAAATGTCTGTTTAACAACACTGTGACGTGGCGCATATGACTCACCACTAAATAGTCACTGCTTCCTGCCTTTCCGGAGGATCTTACCCCACTCATGGACGTCAGCCAATTCGAAAAGATTATTTGATGCTTTCCTATGTTGGTGATTTCACCGAACACAAGCACAACTTCAGCACAACAGTAACAAATTCACACAACATGATTACTGACCCATGCACTTTCGTACATGCATAAAACATACCTCCAATATGTACTGGTTACATAGTAATACTTGTAACAATTACTGATTATACGCTCTGTATTACTATGATCATGCCTTTTTAGGCGTGTCTCGCACTGTCGGGAATAAAACATTTATTTATTTATATAGTCTGCACTAACATCTCCTGGGCGGAAACCTGCCTGCTCTTCCCTAAACCGAGATTCCCGTTCCACAATGAGGCGACGAATGAGAATCGAGGCCAGTAGTTGTGTCACAACTGGCGTTAGACTAATACCCCTGTGATTAGCACTATCGGTGCGAATGCCCTTCTCGTATGTTGCCACTATAATCGATTGGCTCCAATTAGCTGGGACACTCTTGCTTCCAAATATGTTCGACTAGGGAGGTTAGTGCTTTGCAGACGACCTCACCCCCATCCTTAAATAGTGCAGGTGGGAGGAATCCGGGCCAGTGGCACGAAAACGATTAAGGGCCGTGATCGCGTTCCGGACTTCGGTCTCCGACGGAGGCTCTAAACTAACCGTCCATGGCTCTTCCTGCATCACCTGAGTAGGAACAGGTCCGGGAGCAGGGGGCCAGCTGAACTGATCTTGAAAGTTTTCCGCCCGACGAACCATATGGTGCTCTTTATTGTGTATCAGCCCATCCACGCTGTCTCTGCTTGTCTCACTGACGCCTGGTTTTCTCGGACCAGTGGTGCGTATTAGCTGGAAGAGATTCCGGTAATTGCCTACTGCTCCTGCCTCCTCCATTTCTTGAGCCCGACTGGTCCGCCAGGCTTCCTTGTCAGCACGTAGGCTCTGCTTTAGTTCACGCCTAATAGCCCGTCTGGTTACATTGTGTTCAGAGCCAGCCGGGAGGTGTCTTCTAGATCCCAACAGGTTCACCGACCTCTCGGATATCCAGTGACTGGTGCGGTGACGACTGATAGTGCCACAAGCAGATGCTCCTGCGTCGTGCATGGCGGCCGAGATCCCATCCCACTGAAGCTCAGTGTCCTTAGGACAAGCCAGCAGAAGTTCGGTACGCAGTGCGTCTTGATAGGCTTGCCTGACCGAGGACTGAGACAATTTCTCAGTTGCCAATCGGAGGAGACGCTTGGTGCGCCTGCTGGTAAAGTTCATGGAGAAACGACAGCGCACCGAGACATGATCAGAGTCTACGCAGGTATTCCAGAACGAGCGGCAGTCCATGATGGAACCACGTCACCTGTAACTTACTACAATGCAGTCAATTTGGGTCCATCGTTAGCCAGCTACAGGAGGACGCCAAGTGGCACTTCGGCGCCCACTGTGTCTAAATGCGATGCTACTAAGAAACAACTGGTGCTCCGCACACAGTTGCAGCTGACGTTCGCCGTTGCCAGTCCGTTCGGAGTGAAGCCCATAATTACCACCCAGCTGAGCTTCTGAAGAGCTCAGACGCCCTACTTGTGCGTTCATATCCCCCTCAAGTATTATAATATGTGAACTAGTAACATTGCGTAGTAGCGCGTTCACTTGGTGGTCGAATGTGTCCTTGACAACATTAGAACTGCAGTCGGTGGGAGCATAGGCGGAAATCTCGAACAAACAGCGTTTTGTACTACTTCGTGAAACAACCTTAGCTGATGTCATCAAACGGGCTGCACACATACGGATGTTCACCGGAATCCAATTAATCAACGATGGCTCAGCCTTGGAGCTTAGAATGCTACTTACTCCAGCTTGACCCGTGAGTGCTACATTGGCGTCTCCGCATGCGTACAACCAGTGGCCAGAAGACAAGCCGGGCGCAGTTGATTCAATGACCCCATTAGGGCCATTGGTCCTGGTTTCGGATACACAACGCGCGTCACTACCCAATGTGTCCAAGGTGCGTGCGAGTGCAGCCTGTTGACCTATCTGTCTTAGAGTGCACATGTTAAATGCCGCCATGGAAACGGGACAGCGTGGCTTTATAAGGGACTGTTGCCGATAGGCGTCTAGTGCCTGTCGCGAGAAGTCGGTTGCAGATGGTTCTACTCCGGTGGTACTTCGGTTACTGTCAATTAAGTTGGGAATTATAGAAGGAAGGTTAGTAATGGGGGTCGGGATGGGAGTAGGAGAAAGAGGTGGAAAAGAAAGAAGGGAGGCGCCAGCAGTAGCATGTTTTCGCTTATCCGCCCTGCTGTATACAGCAGATAAGGTGACCCTTAGTAATCTGCGCGATGGCCGATGCAGGATGAAGTTTATATTTGAAGCAAATGTCGTCCCGGATTTGAAGCGGGTCGCCTATCAACTCTGTTTCGAACGCAGAGTGGTGAATGTTTGGAACGACCTGCCTCAGCATATAGTAGAAGCCAACACTGTGTCTGAATTCAAGATGCTACTAGACCAACAATTTGCAGAGGCAAAGTACAGAGAGCGAAACGATGAATAAAGAGTTCATGTCCGAAAACGGCGAATGATGCAGCTACACAGAGCAACCTCTACTCGCTGCTTCGCACCAGTTCTCAGTTCTCATAGTTGTATGTGGGCTGAGATACTGCCAGGGCGCCCAGACCTAGACAGGAGGATAATTAAGATCCTCAACCCAAGCATTTGGCTCAAAAGCCTGTCCGCAAAGCAGCGGGGAGGTGGCAATGATATAGTTTTACAGAAATGGACGCCATCCCATTTCAAACCCCCCCAACCTGGAGGACCAGGAGACCGAGTTTGTCTGACCTCTCACCATTGACCAACCTGATAGGAGTAGTTCTCAAAGTGCCCATGGGCACCACCCAGTATAGCACAATGGGTCAAGAAGGTACACAATCCTTCGCACAACCTTAAGCTCTAGTCTCGTTGCGACAGCGTTCTGAGTATAAATCGGATTAGGTTGAAGTAAACTGAAGTCGGATCAAATACTCGGTCACTAGCATGCACGCTCCGGATCATTTGCAGATGTGCACTGGAAGTGGGTAATTTAGTCCTCAGAACATCCACCGTTGTTTTGTGCAATTCGTAGACGTATTGACGACCATCAGTAAGAACTGAAGCCTTCCAGCCGGCGGGCGTCACGTGCTTAAATCTTATGTCAGGCTTTGTGTTGGTACCCAGCAATTCAGAGCGACCGACGGAGAACACCGACGAGCGCATCACCTCCAGTTATCACCAGTTTGCTGGCCGTTGCTGCCAGCACATAAATATCGTCGGATTAAGTCGGACCACCATTATGCCATTGGGCCAACCTGCTACCCACAAAATGCAGTTTCATCTCCGGAGCACAGCGAAATACGATTGGCCCA